AAGAAGTCCAAGTATCAGTGGTGAGACTTATACGTGAAGTGCATTTGCTGAAAAAGCTCTTTAAACTTTTTTTCTCATCCAAGTAAATCCTAAATCAATCTCTAGTCACTGTCCATCGAGAAGGAATAATGAAAAAGGGTTGTGTTACCTTCATGAAGTTGCGAAAACCTTCATGCTGCACCGTTCTAAAAGACATTTCATCCATAATCACCATCTTTGCGAGAGCTTTCCTACTATCTTCTTGATTGAATTTCCACAAATCAAGTCATCCTTTTTTTTATCCACCAGATTCGCATGAAGAGTTTGTTGACTAAGGGCCAACAATTTCTGATTTTGATCAATGTTTGGGGGGGTATTCCTTACACCACTTTATGTGGTTCTTCATGCCAGAGGTACCTTGAACTGACGCACAACCAATATATGCATGACAATATATACACTCATCCTTGTTCTCTCCATCCTTCTTTATAAAATGCTCCCAATGGAGTAAACCCACGTTGCTCTTATTGAGAAACAACTTTTGTTTCTCATGAGGGCGAAATGGGAATTTCAACGTGAAGAGTCTAAAATTGGTCCACTTGGCATTTGACAGCCGTTAGGCTGGCGTTTTCTTAATAAGATAACGGAAGAAACCCTAAAGTTAGGCTGGCATTATGTAAATGTTTAATTGTTACCCTCCCCTTTTATTTTACTCTTCTTGATGTTTTTTTACCCTTTGGGAGTGCTTTATTAAGCCGGCGGACTAATCGAACGAAGGCGAGCAATACGACGGAGGTACGCGGTGAATACAACGGCGACGAAATATAGAAGGTGTATATCAATTATCGATTCAAAGTGATCTTTGTGAAAGGTGAGCTACCTGTCGATTGTGTCTGCTATTTGATTATGTAGTGAATTTTGAATTTGAGTGATTGAGTTTGTATTATCTATGGATTTGGATTTGGGTATGAATGCTTTGAAATTGATATGATTTTGTGAATATTTGATTTTGGTATGAATTTTATGGAGGATTGAATATTTGATTTTGGTATGAGGATTGAATAAGCTGAAAGTAACTGTTTATTATCGAGTTTTCGGTGGATAAATTATTCAATTTTAGGGTGGATAAATTTGATTTTAGTAGTTAATTGTGTTAATAAGATATTTGATTTTGTAAATATTTGATTTGGTATGAGTTTTATGGATGATTGAATAAGCTGAAAGTAACTGTCTATTTTCGTGTTTTTGGTGGATAAATTATTCAACTTAAGCTGTTAATTGTATTAATAAGAGAATGTTATGTTCGTAATGAAAATATTTGACGACTAAATCAGCGTTCTGAAGATGTCAAATGGTAATGTCTCTGTTGAAGCCAAGGTCAGTGAAGGTCCCCGTTTTTGCTGGTTAAATTATAAAGTTAATGTAAGGTTTAGTTGTGAAATTATTTATGTGGTGTGGGTATGTGATGATGGTGAGAGCAATGGTGTGATGAAGAACAAGGTATGGTTTATGGTTGTCCTTTGTTATGGTTCTCCTTGTATGGTTTGCTGTTTAATGTTTGTTTTCGCGGCTAATATATGCAGCAAGTGACTAAAGTCTCGATGCGTAAGACAATTAATTTGTACCTTGAACTGTTTAAGGACAATAGTTCAAGTGTTGGTGGATGTGCTAAAGGTAGATCAGAGGTTATTGCTTTGCATAGGAAGGCTTGTAGTAAAGTAAGTGAATGGTTGATCACAGGTGCCTTGATTTATTTTTTAATGGGTTATAATTTGTATGCTGAAATGTGTTATTCCTTGTCTATGCATCCCTCTAACATGAACTTCCGAATAGAGTCATTTGGACGAATATGTCAAAAATTTGATGAGAGAAGAAAACAGTGGGTTACTGAAATGGGTTTTTGTGGTCTGTTACACATGTCCTTTGGTATTCATTTACCCAGACAACTGGCTTATTGGGTAATGACCCGGATTAACCCGTTAAGTGGTAAAATGACAACCCCCAGCGGTGTTGAGTTTAAGTTCTCAAAGAACCAAGTTAGGTGGGTGTTAGGGATCCCAAATGGTGCTAGATCTGTGCCATCCACCAAAACTATGACTGAAGAGGGCAGATTGAAAGTGCAGAAAATACTTCTGCGTTATGGGAATTCATGGGAATCTAAGTCTAGCATACCCCGTGGTGGTACGGTGTACACCTCTGTAGGGATACCTGTTACAGCTGCAATGTTGGATCGTTTGGAAGGATATTTTGAGGAATCACATGAAGAGGAGTTTAAAACTCTGTTCTTGATTGTGGCCTTGGATATGGTATTATGTCCCACACAATCTCCGAGACTTACGGCTGATCTTTTACCTTCACTAAGTTGTGCAATGGATGCTGTTGAATATGACTGGTGTGGTTTGGTTCTTTCAAAATTCATGGATAGTGTTAGTAGTTTTGCGCGAAGGTTTTATGCAAATGGGTTTGCAGGAGGATGTGGTGGTTGTGCAATTTTTGCTGTTGTAGGTGTTTTAGCCTTGTATTCTTTCTTTATAGGTAAATCATATTTATTTTTTGGAAAACGTTAATTTATTTCCCATTATGTGCAGATATTTTATTTGGATCGGTTGGATAGAGATCCTGTACAATGGGATGCATTTCCCAGGATTAAGGTATGGGATATGCAGCAGATTGGCTTAGCGTCAAAGTTGGACAAGTTAATTACCGGTGACTTTGGCAAACTAGGGGTAACTATTCTATAACCCCCATAGCCTAGTTATTGTTGTTTGTATGATAATATGATATTATGATATATTAGTAATGACTGAGGCAGTTTGTATATAATATGTGTGTGTAGTCGTTGGATGTTGCGTATGGTGAAAGACATCCTAGGGAAGCCAGGGATACAGAAGTCCCTTCAGACCATCGAATAGTCATCGTGAGTCTTTATTTATGGGTTAAACATCGATTATTCATTTGGGTGATTAAATAGTAACCAGTTGTTTGTGTGTAAATACAGGATGTTCCACAAGCAGGTGTTGGGTTTAACTCAAAGCAAAGGAGGGGTCGTTCTACAACTCGATTTGACTATAAGCGGTTGAAGTGAGTGTAGTTGAATAAGTGTTCGAATAAGTCATCTGTCTTATCCAGTTTTCCTAGTGTGTCTGTTTGTTTTCGCATCAAAGGACTTGGTGAATTTTATGAATTCCTATTTGAGTTGTAACAACAATAGTAACAGTTTTCCCACTTGCCCTTGTATTCTTGTATTCATTACAATTCCATAGGACCTTGTCCATGTATTCTTGCATTCGTTACAATTCCATGTGTATTTTTTTTTAATTAATGGACCTTTTCCTTTACAATTCCATGTTATATAGTTGCTTTCAATGTAATTTTTATCATTGTAGTTGTTTTCATTGTGTATTATATTCATAAATGAATGCAAAGAGTTATTTGGAATGGGCAAATGAACATATGAAATCTTAATTGGGCCTTTGTTGGCCATATATTATAATTTTAAGAAAACGACACATAGTAGCCCAAAAAAGGAGAACTAAAGTGGCCCACAACTTCACCTTAAATCTAGTGCAAACATTTTAAAGTGTTGCGCGTTGGTTGGCCATACATCAAGTGCAAACATTTTAGTATAAACTAAAACCGCAAACAAAACATGAATTAATTTTGTTGTATAACCCATGTTGATCCCATGTCATCTTGCTGCTGTAGGTGAAAACCAATATTCCTACAAAAGATGATAACAGCATAACCACCTATAATGCCACACCGAGATCTCCCCTTGATAACCCGAGCATGTATTGGTTGACAAATAACTCTTGCCAAGTTAATTGAAACCCTGGTCTCGGTAAGAATCAGAATGTGTGGGTAGTGAAGTGAAATTACATGCTGTAAATTCAGTGAAAATGTCTTTCGTGCCATGTCTCGGCAATTCCATGTCACTATTCTTAACGACGCTGTTGTTGTTGCTCTTGTGTTTAAAGTAACTTCAAATTTAGTGGTTATCTTCCGTCCATCTAAGGGGTTCTTACTTGTACATCTTGAAAGAAGAGACAAATTCTTCTACAGGAAATCACCACCCACAGTTGTTATCTTGATGTCGTTGGAGTCACTGTTTGTATGCATAACATGTTCTCCTTCCCTCAGTACACAACTTCCCTTATGCGTGGTAACACCGAACATGGGTCTATTATATTTTTAATTCACTTTGGAATGACATTCTCGTATCCATCTCCCTTAGTACCACCTTCTTCCAGCAGGATACTTCATATTGCAATTTTGATAGGCATTGGTAGCGTAGCTAGGTCTGAAAGATCAGGAATATGCGCAGGAGAAACCTTATTCCCCTTGCGTATTACAATAAGGTCACCCTTGAACTGACCACCGGTGGCTATTGTAGTTGCCACATTGCGAGCAGATAATAGTTGTGTTGGAACGGTTTCACCATCACTGATCAGTACTGACTTGATCTCCCCCAAGAAACCTCTTCCATTAAAGATGTCTCCGCCAATTAGCTGCAAAAGCCTTCTCTGAAGGGCTAGTGTTTCGGTGTGTTTAATCAGCAATGGAAGTGGTTGGTTTGTGTTGCAGACAAACAATTTGCTATTTGCGTATAAGGCTATTGGTGTTTTTGCATCTACACTCTTAATACTCCTTACCGGGACTGGTATTTCCTCTAAATCTGGTATTTCATGTAAATCCATGAGCGCGTGTATGGTGGTGGTTGAACTAAAGCAATTTGGGTTGGTTTCTCTCTCCCATATGAAAAGTGTCTATGGAACAAGTTCTTGGTTCCATTTACAAGGATTTTTATTCGTTGTTATGTTTTTCCCGCCACAACTTCCCGCAAATAAGGTCAACATTCAGTCAACACGATTCTCTTGTTATTATAATGGGTTTGGGCCCATAACATTGTTATCCTATTTGCACGGATAGATAATGTAATCCAAAATACTCCACCAATACTGAATACAAATAGTAATCCTATATATCTCCATTGCTAAAGGGTTATAGATATTGGAATTACAATGAACCAAAAATGTATCAGCATTTGCAATCCAATTGATTTGATTTTGGATGGCGGCATACAAATTGGAGAGGTGACTGAAATATTTGGAGAGAGTGGGGTAGGTAAGAACCAAACATGCTTGCAGCTTCTGCTTACATGCTTGTTGGAGCTGAAAGATGAAGAGTTGTATGGGTCATCAATATACATACAAGCTTGTCCGGTGTTCCCGGCTGAAAGACTCAACCAAGTGAGTTTACATATATTGCGTAATAAGTTGGCAGGTGAAAATCCACTTAGTTTGGTGCATGTTAAAAAAATAGAGGTAGCTGACCAAATATTTTTGGTGTTGAACCAAGTGGAGTTAATGGTGTTGAATTCTCTTGAAGGATGTAGGTACACCAGGGTTATCGTTCTCGATTCAATAGCGTATTTATTCAGGCATGAGCACGACAACACATGCAAACGGTTCAGTGAGCGTAATAGAATGCTATTGGTTGTTGGGAAGAAAATGAAAGATATTGCAAAGACGTACAACATAGCATTTGTAGTGGTAAATGAAGTTACTGATGTCTTTACACCAAATGTGTCTGGAACATTCACTTCTGGTCGTGAAATTAAGCCAGCTTTAGGACCCAAATGGGAAACCATCATTTCCAATAGGATGTTTATCTCATATCAATACAACTTAAGTGATGCCTCTTGGTATCGCGAATGGATGGTTGTTAAGAGCTCAAAATCCACCATACAAGGTCGTCGTTGTGCGTTCCGCATAACTAGCAATGGATTAACAAGTTTGTAGTACACTGAATTTTTCAATTTTATTTAGTAAAAAATTATTGTGGTTCAATACTTACTTCACTGTTATCTGTACTAATCTACTTCAATAATTATTAATTTAATAATTTCAATAATGTGGGGTCAATATTTAGTTGAATAATGTATTTCAATATTTACTTATGTAATTAGGTAATTTGGTAATTTATTTTAGTTTAAGTGTGGGGATTATTTAATCTAAATTTATTTATTTTGTTTGGGTATCATCCTTTTTTTTAAAAAAAAGGAAAGTACTCAGAAAATGAATAAAAAAAGTAAAAATAAAATGGAAAAAAAAAACAAACATAAAACTAAAAAACTACTAAATAAACACGCCACATATTATTTAATCATTCCAAGTACATAGTCAAAGGTGTCAAATATATGACACATCATCCGTCTGATAGGGTACAATGTACCCTGCTAGTAGTACTTCTTCCACAGACACGACAAACATAAGTAGATAAAGTTTGAACAAAAACTAAAACATAATTAAAAAACGTCTGATAACACAGATTAACAACATAGTAATTATAATTAAAACGACCACATCTTGGTAGCTTGATCCTTGCCCTTGCCCGCCATTCCCGTAAACCCTGTTCATGTTAAAATAGAGTTGTTAGGTTGTAAATTAATAATATAATGTTGATAAGTAAAGATGATGTGCTATTTTTAAGCAAGAAATAGTGGTAAAAAAAAATTATACATGTAATTAAAAAAAAATGTCCATGTAATTTAAAAAAATTTACATGTAATTTTAAAAAAATATACATATGAATAACATAGATGTACCACTTGGTCTGATTATCACCCCTGAGCTTCTCCGTGGACGGAACCCACAACTCGGAGACGAGATGCGGCGCAATCAGCCACATGCACTGTAGCATCGACCCTTGCTGGATCCCACAAGATAACACTCCCTCCCATGATGCCTTTACCCTCGTCGAATTTCCAGGTCAAGGTTGTAGCCAAGGATTGCAGAGTCCTTGTGAGGTTGGTGGCCTCCAACCTAACCTCAGTAACAATCATGAGAATAGGGTTATGGACAGCGACGATCTCACGAAAATGGGGAATGAAAGATGGCCTGCTGATTCTCCGCCCATTCCACATGACCACACTTGCACCAAGTGGCAGATTTGGTTTTCCGTCCTAGACCTCACTCAGGATCCCGATGCCACAGTACCGGCTGAACTGATCCTCGTCAATGAATTTGTCTCGGAACAAAGTGAAAGAGAGGTTTGTAATTGGCGATCGGACCTGATTAAAAAAAATGGATTCAATGAACGTATAAACGGGCGTGTAAATTAAATATATCATACTTTGTGCATACCAAATGTTAAAAAAAATCAGACATGTGCATACACAATGTCATCACTGTAAGAGCCAAACTCACAGTGGAACTTCTTTCCAATGGTGTAAATTGGACAACTGTGACGAAGAACAGGATTTGGGTCAATCAAAGAAACCAGCTTCTTCGGGATAATCGGGGTAATTCCTTCATTCTCCGGTTCTTCGTCTTCCAATTCACGAATTACCTGTTGCACCTCGGCGAGTGCAACGACATCAGAAATATTTGGCAAATGGGATGGAGAAATGGCCCCATCAGAGCTCATCATCATCATTTTTTTCAGAAGTCCTTGTCTTTCCAAAGGTTTTGCTACAATAACCCGGAGGATTTCGTAGTCCACAACCTGTTTGGTAAGGAAACCATTGTCACTAATGAAGTAAACATAGTCTTTAAAGTTCATCTCAGGGACAGAATTTTTGGTGTGAGTGAAAAAATGGAAGGTGTCTGTTGGTGTTTCAGCATAAAAACCAGGTGGGTATGGAATTTCGGCGGCCATATTTTGGTTAAAATTGTATTTTTTTCAAAAAATATTGAAGAGGGAGTGTTGTGTGTAGAGTAAACAAATAAGCACAATTTATAGAATGGTTTTGTAGGGTTTTGTATGGGACCACATATTAATTAATACGGAGTAATATTTGTTTGGCGGCCATGTACGTCAATGACGCTTCTTAACTTAATAGATTGAGCTTAAAACACCCGATAAATGAGCTTTTTAATGGAACTTAAGGATGAGACACTGCAACGCCATCATGGATTTTGGTATCATTAAATAAAATTTGCCCTATTTGGGAGATGGGAGATAGCTGAAACCTGAATGCTAAAGTTGATTTAGCTGATTTTGACTTGTTGTATTAAATGATTTGGCTTACTTATTGTATTAATTGATTTTATAAAAGTGTTTGATAAAAAAGGTAGGTAGGAGTTTAGATAGAAATTTATATTAAATGAAGTTATAAGTGTCATTTCAAAATAATTTATCAATAAGCTATTTGAAAAACCTCCTAAAATGAGCTTTTCCAAAAAGAGCTTATTTAGTCATATAAAGTCAGACTCTCATAAAATCAAGAACAAAATAACCATTCATAACCTTTTGTTCTCGTACATCGATCAAATAACCATTCACAAGCTGTTGTTCTCGTAGATCGATAAAATAACCATTCACAAGTTGTTGTTCTCGTAGATCGATCACATAACCATTCACAACCTTTTATTTTCGTAGATCGATATAATAACCATTCACAACCTTTTGATCTCGTAGATTGAAAAAATAACCATTCAGAAGTTGTTGTTCTCGTAGATCGATCACATAACCATTCACAACCTTTTATTTTCGTACATCGATATAATAACCATTCAAAACCTTTTGATCTCGTAGATCGATAAAAACAACCATTCACAAGCTGTTGTTCTCGTAGATCGATCACATAACCATTCACAACCTTTTATTTTCGTAGATCGATATAATAACCATTCACAACCTTTTGATCTCGTGATCAAATAACCATTCACAACACCTTTTGATCTCGTAGATCAATAACCAATCACACCACCTTTTGTTATTGTACATCGATCAAATAACCATTCACAGCCTTTTTTTCTCATGCACAACCTTTTGATCTCGTAGATCGATCAAATAACCATTCACAACCTTTTGATCTCGTACATCGATCACATAACCAATCACAACCTTTTAATCTCGTAGATCGATCAAATAACCATTCGCAACCTTTTGTTCTCGTACATCGATCACATAACCAATCACAACCTTTTAATCTCGTAGATCGATCAAATAACCATTCACAACCTTTTGTTCTCGTACATTGATCAAATAACCATTCACAACCTTTTGATCTCGAAGATCGATCAAATAACCATTCACAACCTTTTGATCTCGTTATCGATCACATAACCAATCACACCACCTTTTGTTCTTGTACATCGATCACATAACCAATCATACCACCTTTTGTTCTCGTACATCGATCAAATAACCATTCACAACCTTTTGTTCTCGTAGATCGATCAAATAACCCATTCACAAGATCTTGTTATCGATCACATAACCAATCACACAACCTTTTGTTCTCGTACATCGATCAAATAACCATTCACAACCTTTTTTCCCGTACATCGATCAAATAACCATTCACAACCTTTTGTTCTCATAGATCGATCAAATAACCATTCACAACCTTTTGATCTCGTTATCGATCACATAACCAATCACACCACCTTTTGTTCTCGTACATCGATCAAATAACTATTCACAACCTTTTTTTCCCGTACATCAATCACATCATAAAACATTATTAGATATGATCATGAAAATGAATTTATTTTTTTTATGAACAAGTCAGTGATTTTGCACCGATTCCAATTTTATGTGATCGAATTGTGTTTTTCGTAAACAATTTATTTAAAATTCAATCTTTAATCCTCAATCAATGGTTTGTATTAATTAATAGTTAATATTAACGAAGGGTTGAGATTTGTAATACTATAATGTCTACAATATTATTAGCCATTTGAAAACTATCCTGTCTTTAATTTGATTTACTATAAGTTTAATTTTATTAAGCGTAATTAACTGTATTTTTTATTTTATAATTTATTATCCATTTCATAATAATTAATGAAGCTTTAATTTTATACATAATAATTAATGAAGCTTTAATTTTATATTTTATATGTATAAATATTTTATAAAAGAAGGAAATTAGGAACCGAACCGAACTGAATCGAACTGAACTGAACTAAACCGAACTGAACTTAACCGAACTGAAACGTAAGGAAACAGACCCTAAGTATTGTATTGTACTCTGTATTATGATTGTAGATTACTCACACTTTTTTGAATAGATTTTGTTTTTCTTTTAATTTTTTTTTATCCTAGTTAGATTTAAATCCACTATTTTATGTTGCTTAATACTTTTAGTTTAAGTAAATTACAACACTCTCAAAACCATAATAAAATCACCGCCACCGCCACGTTGTTTCTTCTTTTTCAAGCTTTTGAAGCTATGAAAAAATCTCGAACATCAATCGTTTTGCAGGTCGGTATTTTGCAATTATGTGGATCTAAAAACATTATAAATTTCCATCCTAAATTACCGACTATGTATTTCAAGGCGATTGCCACCACCGGGGGTCCAGAAATGAAATTCAATAACATCGAGTACTTTTACAACAACCAGGACTTGAGTGAATTTAACCAAGTGTCGTTGGAAAAGTTGCATGAAGAGTTGTGTTCTGCGCCAGAATTTGGGTCAAGCTATGGCACTCCGTATCGTGTGATGCGGACAGCCGATGAGCCGACTGTACAACCGGCATACATGCCTCTTATTGCAGACGCAGAAGCATATGGCCATAAATCTTTACCAGTTTTTTTTGAAGTGGTTTTGCATCCGACAATGTCCTGACATCCCAGTTTATATTCCTACTGAACTTGATTCTATTTTCGGCTTGAAGGTTATTGTTGATTTGGACCATGTACCTATGTTTGGGCTCCCGTTGTCTTTCCGGGAAGCGGTTTTTGGGGCGAACAAGGTTGGAGTGCATGTAATGGAAGTGAAGGATTCGGTGCCATGTATTTATTTCACGGTGCAGGCCTCATTCACTTTCTTCAGCAGCACCAGGTATTACAGTGTTGGTATAAGTTCGGATCCCTCGGACGTTTCTTCTAGTCATCTGAAATTCAAAAGGGGAAACGTGGTCGTCCTTTGGAACGCACGAAATGCCCATAGGCCATCATTCCGTGAGCAGTTTGAGTTAATCCACAACAGGTACAAGCCCATGGTTGTCTTGATGATAGAAGCTAGGTGTAGTAGGCCTATGTTGTCTCATGTTCGGAATCAACTGGTTGGCGAATACAGAATCGAAGCCGTGGGACCGAGCACCGGATTGGGTGGTGTCCTTATTGCTTGGGATAGGCGTGTCATCCCATATTTCACTAGACGATAGGATACGCTATACGGCCATGTTCTCTCGATGCATATTAAGGTAAAGATACCATTTTAAAATTAGATTTAAAATAATTTAAACGAATTAAACTATAAAACATTAACGATTTATGACAAGTATCATAACTATTAAGTTGTTACATTATTTTAATTATTCCTTAATACATGTGGTAGTTGTTATCTTTAAATTAATAAATATATAATTAAGTTTTTCTTTCCCCAATAAATTTTTAGCAATACGGAATAACACCTTACTGCAATGTTTATAGGGAGTTGTAACTTTTTTTAATTATCGTTGATTGTAAATTATTTTAATTGATTTTCTTTCGTATTCCCTCCTGTAGGGAATAATTTCAAGTCTTTAAAAATCCCACTAGCTTGAACCCCACTGTGATCATACACTAAAGTACGGTGGCGTCCAAAAGGGAAGAAGATAGAGCAAAAGAGTCGCCAACAAGTTTTTAAGGAACTTGTAAACCGTTCACGAGGTGAAGGTTACACCCCTTAACGATCCAAGAGATCGTCAACTCCATAAGGTCATGAACCAAATAAGGGTTCGGGGATGATGGTACAAATCCAACCTAAAAGAGATTGAACCTGCCCTAATAATAGGCCTCTACTTTATTCTGCTCGTATTCATGTGCGCTTTCTGATTAACATACAATCAATAGGATTAACCCTAAACCTGTTTAATCTATGTTGGTTGAATTTAATGCACAAATAAACTATTATTGGCGATCACTTGAATTATAATCACAATTAACCTAACAAGATTATTAAATATCTTATTAAGCGTGGTTGCAAATACCAATTCCCTTTAAGCATGCAATAAAAGGTGATCAAGAAAATAATAATAATAATAATAATAATAATAATAATAATAATAATAATAATAATAATAATAATAATAAATAATCAAGCAACATAATAAATAATCAACATCATTAATAATAATAATATCAATCATAATCATAATCATGATCATGTTAAAGCATAGCAAGATCCTAGGCATGATACTAACAAGATTAATAACAAACCCTAGCATGTCACTAAGCGAAAAAAATCAAGTCTTTAGCCCTAACATGATACTAACAATCATAAATATTAGGAAGAACATAGGAAGGATCGTACTTTTAATCATACTTAATATTAAAGTTACCCTAGACATGATACTAGGAATCAAAATAACAATCTAAGCATGATTTCTACATCATAATATCGATTAATCAATTAAAGTACTTACTTGGATGCCTCGTACCTCTTTCTAATTACAAAATACACACGTTAGTAACTTCAAGGAAAATAATAAACAAAGCAATTAAATTAAATAATTGAAAGAGAGATTTGGGACCAAACCCTCATAAATTAAACCTTTCACGTCTAGGGCGAAGGCAACTTCGAATATGGCTAGGTGTTTCTAGATCTTGTGAATGCAGAATTTTTGTATTAAAAATCAAGAAAGAAAAGAAAGAATGTATGAAAGTTGATGAAAAGAGATGAATGAAAAGGATTATTTGACTGTAGATGAATGCTAATTGGTGAATGATGAAGATAGTTGATGAAGACTTAAGAATAAAGAGAATTGGTGAACGATAGATGTAGATGATCCATGAAAACGGAGTTTTAGATACTATATTTATAGAGAAAATCATCCAAAAAAGATAATTTATCAAAACAGAGTCTGAAGATCGCAAAACCACATTGGCGCCAGCCCTGGCTCATTGGCGCCAAGACCAGTTGCTTAGCGCCAGGCGCCAATGGCTGGCGTCTGGCGCCAATCCTGGTTCCAGGCGCCAAAGCCTGGGGTTGAACGCCAAATTGGATTTCAACGCGTTTTCGAAAATCTAATAAATTTCCCGTACTGGAAGATAAAATAATATAATTTCAGTCGAAAATGCTATTTGATCTTGATTAAAACTCTGAAGAATCCTAATTGAATTAAGAATGATAAGACCTTCTAGAATGTTCTAGAA